CAAAAACAGATTGGACAAGACCCTAAATTAAAAGAAATGATAATTCTACTAGCAGTATGACATTGAATATTTAATTGTAATTATTCATGGGATATTATTAACAAATATCATAGAACATGACTTTTATCCTAATCAGATTTATAGTAAACAGAGAAACAAATATTTTTCTCTGCATATTTCTAATAAGTATTAATTAAGTTCAACTTTTCATATCATCAATAGAAAGAATAGGAAATTTCAAAGAATTATGTCGTTCAACTGTTGAAAGCTACATGCTTTTCAAATAGTTCATTAGTTTTTTTTTCTTGTAAGAGATAAGAATATGTCAAATAGAGTAGTGATATTTACTACCATATTAATAAAATAAGGGCGAAAACTCCAACTAAAAAAGCAAGATATTTAAAAAAAATTTCTTGATTGTTATTTCACGACATCTCAACTAGTGCCATCAGCCAGAAGAGGAAAATGTAGACGTCGACATAGAAATTCTCTAAGCTCTTTAAATAGCAGCTTTGGCACAAGTGCAGTTTACGCACACCACTATTGAACGATATATCGTTCAATAGTGGGGTACACTTTATCCAATAATTTTTTTTTCTATTCTGTCTTGATATATATATATATATATAACACAATAGGGGTGTGCGTAAACTGCACTTGTACCGCAGCTTTTTTCGATCGCGTGAAGTGAGCGTAAGTTGGCGTGAGGATAAGTCGAGTCCATTAGTCCATAGTATACCCATTTTCTATACATGATACCAAAATTTATCAGTAGTTGTCCTTAGTTGTCGATGAAGAATTTTGAAAGTTTTAGATGAACTTCTTCATCATCTAATGGTTCATTATAAATCAAGAGGACTATTATTTGGAGCTACTTTGTGAAAACAGAATTGTATGGTACTTGTTTCAGCTGATAATTTTTTACTAAGACTAATACATTTAACACTGTGTTTTTATAATGACATTTTTAGCTTGATTCTTTTTCGATTTGATGTTCATTCAATTTCTTGAAACTTTTCGAGAAGAAAACTCAAATCTTATCTAATAAGATGCCCTTTTTCTTTTCTTTACTACAGGAAGGGGATATTCTTTAAAAGAACAGATGAAAAATTAAATCTTTCAAAAATAACGTAAAACGGTTCTGTGTAGGTTGTATATTGTAGAAGTATCATTTCTTTAAAGCAACTAGAAAAATATTTTGTTGGGCTTTTCTCCATGTGACTGTTTGTGATTTGTGTGAGACTTTTCCACTTTATTAGAAAAATAATAGGTTTTTAGAGAATATATACTCTTGGTTTAAGTGAGAATTAGATTTTGCCAGTGTTATTTTAACTTTCTTTCGTTATTGCTTATGTCTAGAATCAGCCTAAGTTTTTATTTTTTTTCGAACTTTGATCACATTTTATCCACATTGAACTCTTCATATTTCTATATTGAATATGACATACTCTACTATTTTTACTTTCCATTTATAAAATAGACGAATAGCTACTTATTTATTTGTGCTTTTTTCATAAAAAAAAAGACAATAAACAAGACTAAGAAAAAAAGAAGATGCAGAACTGTGATCGATTCTCAATAAAAGAAGTAAGATATGTTCTATACGTTCATAGATGTGATCATTCTATCAAGAAGGAGAGAAGCAAAATGCGCGCACGTGTATCTTGAAAAAGATGAAGGGAAAAGAAATGAAATGATCAAGACTATAAATAAAAAAGTACATGTTTGGAAATAAAAGACTTTGCAGAGCTGAGTGAGTTGATCTGTTTTTCGAGTCGAATTGAGTTCAAGTTATTTCATAGTGATTTCGAGTTGAATCAATTTATTTTTGCGACTTTTTGTTTTCTATTTATCTTTATAAAGAATATCAAGAACAATTTTTCATGGGACGATATCTGATTCCTAGTTTTTATACGCAGAAAAAAAAGAGAAGCCAGGCATAAAGTACAATGACTCAGCTACTTTTAATTTATATATTCACCGAAATGGTTGTTATTAAACGACGTATTCTATACAAACGATTATATTATAGGGTGATAGAGAATATGACAGTACGATGCAATTCAAAGCGTTCATTTATTTTATTACATCTACGTGTATGCCTCTCAAGACGAGCCGAAACAAAACAGATCGAGGAAAAACATACATATTCAATAATACACATAAGCTCTCATTTATGACCATATGAATATATAAATCGAAAGAATTCTTTAAATCTTTCGAATCTAATGTATTCAACTAGAACGAAAGTCATGAATGAATGAGAATTTTATCTTATTAATCGTGATGTTTTTAAAGGAGTAAATGGAAATTAATTTTGAATAAATACATCAAAACAAACTCTTAAATCAACATTACCTGGTTTTTGAGTTTGAGTCAAGTTAGAATCATTAAAAAAGAATGTGAATTAAATCGATTCGAGCCCGAGCATGAGTCGAATTCGACCAACTCTGAGACTTTGAAGCATTTTCTCTATAGCAAAAGCTCAATTAAATTTATGTTTTTTGAAACTTATTTTGCTCAAGATGAATTCGATGAAATGTCATGATTAACTAATGTTTCATCAATCATTGAGAATCAATCAAAGAAAAAACTAGAACTTCCCACATCTTTTTTTGTCAGCTATATAATTCGATTTTATCTGAATTATGATTGTGTTGGTCTAATGATTTTCGACGAAACATATTATTTCAGGCCAGAAATTCCAACAAATCTTTCATTTAGAAGTTTATGTCAAACAAAAATGGCAAGGGTAGTGAAGAGATTTATCAAGAAGTGAAATGGACAAAGAAATAATAAATTTTTCTTTGAATCAAATAATTAGGAAAATATGTTTTCTTACGAGAATATAAATTCATTGGACTTAGATCATCATTAGTATGCGATGCAAAAGTCTTTCAAAAACTGTCGAAATTCATTTCTCAAACATAGATCATTGGATTTACTTGGACTTTTTGTTTGTTTGAAAGAGCAAAGTCTGAAGAGTATAGACGTAAAGTAAAATTCGTTTCTACTATGTGCTGTGCGTATGAGCCTTCATACGATTGATCTTAAAAAGCTTTATAACATCCAAACATTTTTTCGCACTTCGTAGTACTTCAGACGCTACGAGCAATAGCCAGAATAGACTGTTCGATAGAGCTAACATCCCTGTATCTAAGACATATATTTTGAAAAAGCTTCCATTCATTTTTTGAAGCTTCTGTGGACTAACTATCTTTTCTATTTTACTGTTTTAACAAACTGGAAACCCCGTAGAAGTAATATTTCAAGAAAAGTATTTTTTATCGACCGCGTGACAAAAAATAAACTCTAAATCAACGGTATTGTAAAGCTTATAAAGCTTCGTTCGTAGGTATGATTAATTTAAACTTTCAAAGAGACAATAGCGCAAACTTATCAACTGGAACTACAGAAAAATCAAGTTGACAAGACATTTTGAGTATTGTTTTCTGTTTAATTTTTATCATAATAGACTAAAAAGAAATTTGAACTATATTAACCTATTTTTTACTCCAGATTGCTCCCTTTCAAACAAAAAGAAACCCAGACTGATCTGATGTTTGGATGTCGAGACATGACTTTCGACATTTTTCAAGGAACTTTGCATCACACATTATGTTCATATATAGCGAATTTAACTTTTACAAATTAATCTTAAATACAATATATTCGATAAGATAACTAAACTATAGGTTAAAAGATATCACTTGGTCAATAATCATCAGGCTGTGATAATGAAAATACAGTTTTCATGAGAAAAATTTCAAGCATTCGAAACATTCTTGAATTTGATATATGAAAATATAGATTTTTCAAAATATTTTTTATATACAAAATCTCGTATTTCTTGTTTAAGTTTTACTTTTTAACGGTCATTGATACTATTCAAAAATATTGATGAAAATTATCATACTGAAAAATGAAAAGACACTCAAGGATTTCAAAAAATTCACTCAAAAAAGAATTAAAAGTGCAAGATTGAAACCTGTTTTGGTTATGTAAAGTTTTTTGTCTCAACTGCTAATCATACGAAAGAGAAAGAATGGTTGAATCACGGTAAAATAAGGACTGCAATCTGATTGGCTTTTCACGTCTATGTGAAGTGATCATCATTTCTTAAGCTTATGTGTTTGGCTCACTTCTTGCGACCGCTTTTTTCTTCCTTGAATAAATATCAATATCAAAAAAAGATATATTTTCACCAATTGTACAGATTACTTCTATTTGTTCTTGATCAACCAATGATATTTCAAGAAACACGTAGGTAAAATTCAAATGTTTCACTTTTGTGACTAATTTCAATAATAAATCATAAATGAATTCATAATGATGTACTGCTGAATATATTTTCTTTTATTGAGTAATACAATGAATCTATTAATTTTTTTATGAGTAATTCTAATATAAATAAAAGAATTTGTCATAATGGCAAATGTTTGTTTTTATTTCAATAAACTGCTTAAATTTCTTTATTTACTATTCTTTAAAAGAATGAATTGACCTTGAAAGAAAAATAACATCATTTAATAAGCTTATTCATCTGTTTGATTCGAAAATATCGAATTCTTTTCTAAGGACATTTATTTCTCGTTATTAAAAATAAATGCTTTTTTTGGGCTAGAAGAAAATATCGAGAACGATTAAACAGGGATGGCCCGCCTGTGGGAGTGCGGGGGTTGTCACAACTTCCCAATCTTGAAAAATTTTTGTTTTTTCATGGTAAAATCCAAAACTTTTTCTGTGTTCCGTTAAAAAAAACATAATGTTACAACCCCCCCCCCCCAATATTGGTTGATTCGGGCCATCCCCACGATTAAAAAAAAGTAAAAATACGCACTGATTAACGAGTACTCTGGAAAAAGAAAGAACAAGAGCAATACCGCGATATGCTAACCTGAGTGTTTTTCAAGAATATTTCGCAATCCATAGCAATTCTTTTACTTATATATAAAAGAATGTGTTTAGTTTTTAGTTGTTTCGACTTTTAATTGAGAAAAATGTCCTCAATAAATCAATATGAATTATTGAAAACAAATGGTTCATGGAAAGATCGGCTTAAATATGTTTTATCATTAACTGATAAAAATGATATAGAAAAACATTTAAAAGAATCATCATTATCATCTATTGATGATTTAAAAATGTTGAGTTTTTTATCATTATCAATTAAAAATTAAAAAAATTTATTCAACATATTTAAAAACAATTCATTACCAACAAAACAACGAGCTTCTGCGGGTCAACGTTGGATTCAACTTCAAAAAGATCCAAAACAAATTCATAATTTTATTGTTGAATCAATCAATGATAAAAATCTTCCTCGATAGTGAGTGTCTTTTTTGTGTTGAAAATAATCAAATATGTTTATTATTTTCATTTAGCTTAAAACATCAAATACTAAAAGATCTTCATCGAATTGATTGTTTAAAAAAATCTTCATCATTTTTTTATGATCTTGCATGTCATTTAACAGAATCAAATAACCATGAGCAATATAATATAGATGCCTACTTATTACCATTTTGTAAATACGATCAAATAATTGATCTTTTATCACGATGGTCATTAAAACGTTTTGAACAAGTTGACTTGACATCAGCATTTTATTGTAAATTAATTCGTTATCAACCTCTTATTATTATTCATTTAATGAAAGCTGATTTAAATGAATATAAAAATGATTATGAAAAATTTTCAAATTATTTTAACAAAAAATATAAAACATTTGATTTAATTGCAAAAAAAGAACCAAAAGAATTGATGAATTTAACAATTGAATATTTAAATCAATTAGAAAAACATAAAAGATTTTTACCTTATTTTATTCATTGCAACGATACATACTTTTTTAAAAAATGTCCAGAAGAAATGATTCAAATAATAACAATTATTGCTTCAAATCAACCAGGTTTTTAATTTAATTTATTATAAAATTATTTATTTATTGTTTTATATAGGTCAAATGAAATATACATCAAGCTGCAGTAATGAAGGATATGATTTCAGTTCACTTCAAATACCTCATTCATTTTCTATTGAAAATTATGTTCGTTTATTTCTTGCTTTATATGACACATGTAGATGGTCATCAAAT